GCTCATTGCAGCCCCCCTCTCTTTGAAAATATGCACTCATCATATCTGACCACCAGTATAGAAGGGTTTATGTACCTACAATGATAAAGCCGGATGCATTTGTTGATCAACCAGACTCAAAGAGTATATAGTTAACAATATGAGGATGTCCTTTGAAAGTTAATATAAAGAGGAATTCATTTGCTGTTACCTACTTCGGATTATCTTTTGTCAGTTTCAAACTCAAACATTTTAAGCACTGGTTTTAATCAATTAAGCTTTGATTAACAAATTAAAGACATTTAAACCATAATTGTTCTAGATTAAAAAAACATAATTATAGCAGCGGTGGCGGTAGGCATATACTTTTGTGAGTCATCATGACTCAGGTAGTTTCAAAAAAGTGAGTCACAAGAAAAAAAGTTGAGTCAAAGCTATAAAAGTGTTTTTCTTGAGTAAAAATGCATACAAAATGTAGAAACCACATACAAAATCTATTTTTTGATTTTGTGCATACCTTTTATTGTACTCTTATAGCACATTAACAACTAACAATTAATTAATTAGGCAATTGCAAGAAAAATGTCACTATTAATCATCTGATTATCTGGTCCAGCGAGTCATGGGTGTGAATGGAGTGGGAGAGGAGTTTCTCCCTGTGTGGAGTTACACAAATTGGGGTCAAAGCGTTTCATGTTGAAATTCAACATTTTTGCAATCATTCCAAAGTCTAAAACGGCAATATAAGTCCGACCACAATACTGGGCATCATTTAAATTGAATACGGTAGAATCTTGTAATTATAGCTGATCAAATGAAACCGAAAGTAGATTTGTTTTCATACCTAATTTATCATCATTACCCCCCTTAATATGCGATCGACTGGATTTTCATGTGCCCATTATCTATCTTAATAGGATCAGCTTCAGATCTATTGAATCGAAGATCTTAACTTGAGGGAGTTAATTGAAAATACTTGGTGAAAACTTACGATAGATCGGTCACTGTGAGCACCATTGATAAATCTACTGCGCATTACATCTGCGCATGCTGATGAAGGGGACGGCTCAAGGAAACTTGCTAACTTAGCGAAGGAATTTTGCGAACTTGCGAAGGAAACTAAAGGTTCGTAAATCTAGCATGTGAACATTCAAGGGAAGATTTTATGCGGTAATTTAGATAAATTTACGATCACTAAAATCCTTAGAAGGGAGTATGAAATTAATAAATTATTGTTCAATGTTATGTTAGTTTTATTGCATTTTTGATACGCCCCCTAGCAACGTGCTTCACGAGATAAACAAATCGAGGGATCGATCAATGTTTTCAAGTATATCATTGAATCTGAATCACAGGGCTTTAAAAATTATATGAAATACCGAAATGAGAAAATGATCGGTAGGAAGGAGGCTCGATTGCGCTGAACGAAATGTTAGATTTCCGGAATTAGCAAAATTATAAATTTGATCAATCACGTATTTTCACGTATAGGGATCAATTTAACCAAGTACCAAGCGGGGATTTTGCATGTGAAACAAACGTGCGTCAGAAAGACTCGGTAGACAATGAATATTTGCGTCAGAGTTGCAAAAATGTGAGTAAAAAACGTAAAAAATTGCGTTAACGCCACCTCTGTATAGGCTGTTTTTTTGTCATATTGAATCAGTGTAGTAATACAGATAAATAAGGCCATTCTGAATTTAGTAGATGTTTTATGTAACCTCCCATCTATGATCTAGGCAAATCAAAAGATTAAACCCTTCATCAGGAAGTTAAACTTATAATTAACTTCGAACGACCAAATGTCAGAATATAAAAAGTCATTTTTCAGTCTAGGTTTTGTAGTTTACCACCATGTGGCTTCAATGGGGTGAACTACTTCAAAAGTGGACGCTTACAGAACAAGTATATTACAGTCACCACTATTCTTCTGTAAGTAATGTGTAAAATGGGTTGACATTTCAGAATAAATGGAAAAGCTTACATTGTTGAGGTTCTTAATAGAAAGTGTTTTGATTTATCTTCCAAAATACTAAACAAATATTTGTTTATACAAGTAAACATAAGTAGATTTCAACATAATATCTAAAACCAAATATCTGGCAGTTAAACCTAATCCTAGCTTTTATCAAAGCAAGAAAGAACTAGTCTCTACTTTTTATGTACCTGAACTTAATGTTGAATAATATAAAACATTGACAGCTGTTAAAGCTATTAGCATGGCACTTTGAATATAACAGGAGACATTGAATATTTTTAAAACGTTTTTATCAATGTTTTTTTCAGTTTGGTTTTTGATACTATGGGGGGGGGGGGGGGAGGGGCCTAGTATGTTAGGTAGATAAAGCTCTCTTTTAAAGGAGAAAATCAATCTATTGGAAAGTAGAGGTTTTTGAGTGCTTATGCTTAATTTTGTGAGGTACTTATGTTTTATCAAAATAGTTAGATAATACACTATTTTAGGATATTTTTACATCAGGAAATTTGGGTATACATATTCTTCAATAATCGTATACTGGGTCAAACATGCTGGAATTTTCTAGGAAATCTCAGACATTCTTGCTAGTCCTCAATTGACCTGAACCTGAACTCATGTATGTTTACAGGTCTCCACCTGGTCAATATATGCATCTTGTCCAGGGTATTGATAGTATCTTTCTATTCTATTTCTTGGTAAAGGCATCAAGGGCACAGTATGCAATTTACAGGTTTTGCCAAGTGGGCTCACTTTTAAAAAAAATCTAAGGGGTTCACATTTGACAATTTTGGCCCAAAACCTCTTGAAAAGTATGGTGAAAAAGCTGCATGATTTTGAAAGATTTTGCTTCCACAGGTTATTTCTGCAGCTCTGTATAGTGTTCACAATTCATATCTAAATCATTCCGATAGGGAGGTGTCTAACCTTGTCACAATAAACTGCTAAATATTTTAATTTTGTTGTGATCTTTCAAAATTGTTATCTGTATGTTTGCATCCAGTTGCTCCAAGAATTGCAAGTTCAAGGAACTCATTTCTATTTTAAGGTACAGTTTTGTACACAGCCTCAAGGAACTCATTTCTGTTATAAGGTACAGTTTTGTACACAGCCTCAAGGAACTCATTTCTATTATAAGGTACAGTTTAGTACACAGCTTCAAGGAACTCATTTCTATTATAAGGTACAGTTTAGTACACAGCTTCAAGGAACTCATTTCTATTTTAAGGTACAGTTTAGTACACAGCTTCAAGGAACTCATTTCTATTTTAAGGTACAGTTTAGTACACAGCCTCAAGGAGATATTACAGATTATGTAGTTCGCCAAATTGAAAAGTACAACAACAATGATGAATTGTCATATCTATGCTAAAGTCTATACTTTTTCCTTCAACATTTAGCATTTTATTTTCATATAAAAATGTTTTTACTGGTATGGGAAATTGGGTCTCTACTAACGCTCATACATGTTAGAAATAAAAGTTTAATAAATATTCAGACTGGCTGATATTTAGGTTTTATTAAAAATGAGTTATCCATTAATATGACAAGTAGTGTCACAACCACTGATACCAACCAACCTCAAATATGTGTTCATAAAACCTAGAAGAATGTGAGAAAATCCTGCCACTATATTATTTTGGTGGTCTAGGTTTGAAATCTAAAATTAGTAGAAAAGCTGAACTTGACTTAGAATTGTATGAAGAAGTCTAAGTTAATTCACTTTAAATTATATAGAAAGATAAGAAATTATCAGTTACTGTCTAATATTAGAGCTAAGTAACCATAATGACATGCAATTTGTGTTTGTGGAAGGATATTTTTAGCAAGGGATACACCAATCATATGAACTCATGCCTCATTGTCAACTGATGATAGAAAGAAAGTAGTTCCGGCAGCTTCTTGAACTTTGACCTGTAACCTTACTAATAGAATATCTGTGATAGTCACATGATATATAGGGGTAGCTGAGGATCTTCTCAATAGCAACATGCATATATATCAGGGCTTCTAACTATTAAGGACCACCCCTACCAGCCATAAACTAGATTTTTAATTTCTCCATGAAGTTAGTGGTAAAACAATCTGTAAATATAATATCAACGTTAACCAGTTAAACCCCAATGTACCATCTGTTCCCTATAAGCACTCATGACTAACTTAAAAGATATTCAATATTGAATTGAATTGAATTTAAGTAAATTTACCCTGCACAAAAAATTGTTGTAGAATGTTATAATCTGCACAATCTTCAGATAATGGAAGCTATATTTGAATTAGGATTTTTGTTAATCTCAAATCAGTATCTTGCATGTAAAAATGAATTTATCTGATTTGATTGGCTCGACTGTAATTGATAACGGCTCATTGCCATATTAATTCATTATTAAGTACATTAATTGATCTATTGTAATACAGATATCTTGATGATATAATACATTGCTAATAGATTACCTGTCTTATGTATTGATGTCTTAATAATGTCTAATGTACATAGTAGATATCTTAATAATTGTCTTATGTATAGTAGATGACAGATGTTTTAAAAATGCCTTAGTTTAGATTTCTAATAATTATATGTATAGTATAGATGTCTTAATAATGTTATATGATATGGTTGACCACGTACTTAAGATGAATTATGATTGAAATTTTAAAAAGCCTACAAAACATCCTAAATAGAAAAGCCAAAACGTCCATGAAAAGCATTTACTAAGTTCAAAGGCCAGAATGTTATATTATGTACAGGTAGCCTGTAATAAAACAACATAATTAAAGTAATCGATATGTGACTGTTGTATTTGCAAAACAATAAAGCTACTACAATAAAGAACACGATTCAAATGAGTGGCTGTATGAATAAACAATCAACAACTTGTCTTATCCAATATTATTCATTTTGCTCTTCAATAACAAGTCCAGAATTTATTAATTTTTAGGTAGTATGAAGCTGGAGAAGACAACAGGCATTTGGTTTTGTTTCTTTAAAAGAAGGCTTCATCTGCAGATGAGACTGAGTTGAGATCAGAAAATGATAGGAGAGAAGCATTCTGATGCGTGTCACATCTTTCTGTCTTCAGCTAGAAAGAAGCTAAAAGGAGGCCATGATTTCTCATAATGTGAGAGCGTGTCTCACCGTGTAATATGTTGAAATGCTTCTCCAGTCCCTGTTGGGTTGTATCTTGCTACATGCACTTCACATTTGTGCATGTCTTGCCTAAAGTGTTAATTGCTATTGGCTTGTGTAATAATGGCTTGTTTTTCTTTCTAGGAAATGACCGATCAAGTATCTTCCTTAGGCATTGAAAGGAACTTTCATCAACGATTATCATAAACCACGTCAATTTCATCATATTTAATTTCCAATGTTTGATTGTAAGTTTATATTTCTCTATCTTCAGAACGCTTCAAAGGTAAAGGATCAGATACCAGTGCTTGGAGAACCTTCGACAACTCCACCAGTTATCTCTGAGGTAACCACGGTGACAACCAATGAGCTGACAGTATCGTTACCACCTACTCCTACCACCCCGCCACCTATCATCACCCAGCAGGAACCAATCAAGGCATCCAAGGAACATAGAGAGAAACATATTCCGTGTTACATGCCAAAGAAAAATATCAAAAAGGTATGTGGATTTACATTTCCAACAATTTTGTTATATCAAGAACTTGGTACATTTACTATAGACTTTTTATTTCAATACTTCAGAGTGAGTTGGTCATCTTTGGTTCAAGGATATTTCACTTCATTCCATAGCTGCTACATAGCAGTATAGCCTGATCTTAAAGGATGCAGTTGGTATTCTTTGGCGTACTGGCATCAGAATAAATATGACCATTATTAGCAGTGATCTCCCAAGAATTTTTTCTCAAGTGGGTGCAAAATTCTCATTTATGCAATTCAGACCAAAATTGGTCAAAATATGCCAATTTTTCGTGATTTTTCTCAATTTCAAGTGGGTGCAAATGGATTTTCAGGTGGGTGCAAGCCTATTTTCAGAATCTCTGGTGGGTGCTACGCCCACTTGCTTAAATGCTGGGGAGATCACCGATTAGGCATTTGGTATATGGAGCAAATTGTTATACAATTGTAACCACTGCCTGTGATGTCATTTTGTCATGTTAATGCTATGTCTAAAATATGTAGAGTATAGAATTGTAATACTTGTTTCTTGGTCTCAGGGTATTGGTTTATTATATCACCCCCAGACATGATGACATATCAGTGATCTCCCAAGCATTAAAGCAAGTGGGCACAGCACCCACCTGAGATTTTGAAAATAGGCTTGCACCCACCTAAAAATCCATTTGCACCCACTTGAAAATGAGAGAAATCATAAAAATTGGCATATTTTGACCAATTTTGGTCTGAATTGTGTACCCACCTGACAAAAAATCCTGGGGAGATCACTGCATATTGTTATAGCCTCTAGCTTTTTTGTGGACAGTGTTCGGCAGTTGATGTTCGACAGTTGATGTTCAGTGGTTGTAACAAAGTGGCTGTTACAAATAGCAGGTGGTAACATTTTGCATGTTGATGCATTGTATGACACTTTGTTTGAAACTACATGGATCAAATTAGGATTAAATCAGGAGACATACTATTACATGTATTTAAACCATCACTATTAATATTGATCAAAAGCATGATAGAAAATTGTTGCTTATAAATAAAGGGAGGGGTCATCTCAAACCATGACCATGTATCTAAAGCCATTGAAGAGGCCTGCATTATTTTCATGAAGTATTTCTCTGGGCATTTCTTAAGATACATAAGTAGTCTTGACTCTCTCAGTCGATTAACCTTTCTCAAGTCAACCTTTTACAATAAATAAGCCCAGGTTTTGATGAATGGGAATCTCACTAACAAATCAGACAGTAATAAAGCGTGAAAATGATATCACAAATCAGCCATGTTAAATGAATCTTCAAGATTATTAACAATTCTTATCAATGTATATAGACTTTGTATCTTTCAAATGAAAATATTCTGATAAATTAAGTCAATGACTGTTATTTATTAAGCGCTCTATATTTTATTTAATTTCCAGGCAGAGGCTTTTCTTGATGAGAGTGTATTTGTCGATGGAAATAACAAAACGTTATTTAAGATATTACTATGTTTTGTTTTGGTTCAGCGAGAAACAAGCAATATTTTCTCATGAAATCTTCAGTTGAATTCAACCTGTGATTTTTCGTAAGGGTAGACTAAGTGAAGAGCTTCCAGTTTATATGCTACAGTCACACTCCTAAAATATAGACCAGAAATATTTGTAGCATGTATGTATTGATCGTGTTATTCAGAGGTTGTAGTAACTTGCTAACAGCAGAAACTCTGCTTTGAAGTTTTCCCTTATTTGTAAATGAGATATTTGATTGTGGAATTGAAGTCTGAATAATAACTACAATGATACCTGTGATTTAAGACACCTGTATGAACACCTTTTTATGATAAACACATCTATAGGTGTTTCTTGGAGATTGCAGGTGTTTATTAATTTATCAGCATCGCCTCTTAGTTTGTATAAGCATTATAACAAATTTAACTGCTGGTGCACATGCATTTAATGATTTTTGTTTCAAATAATAGTTTGAATTTCTTATTAGGGATGCTATCCAAATCTTGACAACAGTTGAAGCATTGTTTGCATCTTCTTCCCCATATTATAACTACCCTGCGTGCAGAGTCTAGTTAAACTACACTCTGCCTAGTAGAGACCATGTTACAGTTTAGTAGCCCCGTCCCACGACGGGTACCGGTGACAGTTTGGGTAATAAATCACTTCTGACCTACGCGCTGACCTTTCTTCTACCAATCAACGAGCTTGAAGAAACATACGCCAAATGCGTTCTAATTAAATATGCGCATGTCATTGGTCAATTCCAGGCTCAACAATGACGTCAGAAGGAATGCCCATATATAGAATGTCAGTCAAATTTGGCCGACGAACACTGATTGGCGCAGTGAGTTCACAGGTCTATTTTAGTTTGAAAGAGTGAAGACGAAGCTCTCTTTTAAGAAGTGAAGTCAAACGAATGCAAAGGATATATTATAACAAAATTTAAAAATGTGATTTTCTTTTCACTTCAATTTTTCAACTAATCGTCAGTAAATTATTCTTTATCACTTCACTCCAGAAATTAAGTTATCTATAAATGTATTTCACACCTCTAACATTTTGACACCATCCCTTTCTCATTTCTCACCACTAAATCAATCATTCAATGTATTTTGACATGATGATCATACATAAAACATAATCAGTGGCATTCTTTATGAAGTTATGTATTCAACCCAATAAAAACAGGATTTAAGCATGATTCTGAAAAAATAAAATAAAGCATCCAAATTAGTATAATAAGCAATGACTATGTGGTAATGGTTTACCTTAGTTTGTATGTAGGAGTTCATTGACACAACATAATCTCATTAAATATAACTTAATCACTCTGGGATTAAGTTAGTACAAATCAAGAAATAGAAATCCTGAAACAAGGCACAATCTTGTAAAACAACACTATCAAATGTAAAGGTTGTGGATTGATATCTCGAATTCCAGGTTTATGTAAAGGTCTAGGGCATCAGCATGAAAATGGAATATTTGGGAAAAAACAATATATAAACATCTACCTTATGGCCTTATGTAAAAGATAATAAATCAGATATTTTAGTAATATAAATGTGATCTTTCTTTGAAAACACTGCACAATCTAGTAAACATTTTAAGCAAGTATAACTGAATAAATAGAAAGGAATCTGAGTTAGATAAGAGAGTTGTTTATGACCTGAAGCACTAGGTAGTGTTCAAACCCAGATACCATTCCCCATAGTTTGATTCTATAAAAGAGAGTCACTTTCATCATCTTGTGTACTAGGCTCTGACCCTAGGAGTGATGCAGGGGTGGATCCAAAAACGAACAAGATGGGGAGGGCATTTTTCAAGTCTAAAAAATATTTTTGAAGTTTGGGCCCTTAAAACCCCAAAATGGGGCCCACATTTTGAGAATTGTTGATAATTTGTCCTAATGCTAAAAAACAAGGCCCAGTAATGTCCAAAAGGCCTACTAATTAGGGTTTTAAAATTTTGGGCCCATCTTAAAAGGGTGGTTGGGCCCCAGGGCTGTCAGTATAAATCCCAGGTCATAACATAAGCTTCTTGCAGTGTCATCGTGGATTTGCAAGGGGCCTTACTATATAAAACACTTAATTATATAAATCAGTATTGGAGATGCTGGCGTTCGGTAATTAATGATACCTTGAGTCGCATATTGGTAGATACAGCTCTGCCATTGTTTCTTTATGAACACTTTTTAAAATGTCAAAATTACTCAAATCTTAATCGTTCTACAACTATAGTAAAACCTTTCAACTGGAACATCTTTCTTGAATGAGCACCTACCTCATAAAATAATTCTTCTTACTCATCTCTCTGATTGATTTCTAGTTATCCCCACCTCTCAACCGATCTGAAAATCAACGCCACCATATTCGAACACCATTTGCTTGTTTCTGAAAGTGTTCACCTTAGAGGGGGTTTTATTGTATTTAAAACGAAATTTAAAATGTGATTGTCAAGGCTGATTCACGCAACACATTCCTCTCTTATTTCGCAATATTCCACTGTGGTTAGAGGGGGTTCTATTGTATTTAAAAATGTGATTGTCACGCCTGACTCACTCAATACATTCCTCTCTTATTTCGCCATATTCCACTGTGGTTTCCTTTTAAGCCATAACCATGTTGACATTGCCTCTGTGGCATTGATTGATCGCTGTATAATTTCTAGGTTGCGGTTTAGGTGGTGGGAGAAACATATGTGCCTTGTAACCCATATAATAGAAACCACTTGTACATTATGTGTTATTCCTGCCAACGTTTCTGTGAACTGTGTATTATGTGAGGGTTGGGTCGCATCTTGAGGGGAAGAATGGCAGTAGTATTTGATGTAACCCAACAATCCCAGGCCTATAGCCAGCGGGTTCCCCATGTACTTCCAAAATCATTCAGTTTTTTGTTCACATTCTAAGCAGTTTACATGTGATTTTTAGCTAAGTTGTCAAAAGTGAGCCCCATCCTAAAATCTTTTTCGAAAAGGCAACCCCCTCTGATAAAAGCTGGCTATGCCACAAATATTGAAGTATTATTTGAATCCGTAGCTGTCCAGTCTCTGATTCTACCTGAGAATACTCTTTTACTAAAGTGAATATTTGACTTCACATCTCTTGGTATCAGAGATCTTGAAAGTCCATGTATGGCATTGGAGTAGTAGTGCTGCCTTTGTAAACCTATTCATTTATTTGCGAATCACCTCAGCATATGTCAAATCCCCTCCCCTCAATTCAATTCATGTCTAATATCCACCAAACTCTTAAGTAAACACCTCTGTTTTTCATCTAACCTTTCAATATCGCTATTAGTTTCTCAATAATAATTCTTTACACTTTGGAAAACATCATTGTTAGTCTAACCATTGTGATCACCAGACAATAGGTTTTACTGCAGTGGCAGATCTGGGGGGGTTGCATGGCCCAGAAATTGTATTTAGTTTTTGGGCCCGAGAATTTAGTAAAATTGGGCCTTTTTGGGCATGATTTGGCCTTTTTTGGCCAATTTATCAAAAAATGGGCTTTAATTTTTTTTCATATTTGGGCCCAAATTGTTTTTGTTAATTTATGGATCCGCCGCTGTACTGCAATGTAAAAATCTAGAAAAAATCCAGGTATTTTAAATGC